AGGAGACATTCAAAATGTCTTTGAATATATGCTCATTATTTTACATATCATCTATTAAATCTGTGCAGCAAATGTACTCTTAATCTCTCTGCAGTCTAAGTTCTGTGAGCTTTCTTGTAAACTGGAATATTTCAGAGATTACACCAAAAATATTGATCTGTTTAGTGTTAGAAAAGCTATTGATTATGTGGTGGAGTGAGCTTATATAAGCATAAATTGACCTTGCAGTGTGTTTTATTTGTGTTGCAGCTGGGGTTCATTGCAGTTCACAGATGTGATAAGCAATACTGTTATATGGGTTACAGTGTAGTTTGCAACAAAACTAATCTCTTCAAGAAGTGGTATTCTATAATCTGCAGGAATGTTTAACACACACTTTTAGAAGAGATATTAAAGTGGGAAAAGGGTAATAGAGGTCAAGTGGAATAAAAAGGAAGGGGGAAAATAACAGGACATGGAAAATGGTGGATCTTTTATCTCTTCTTTTCAAAAAGACATGTTCTTTTTTTAAAGTAGTAATGTTCCTTTAAAAATGAAAAAAAATTAAAATATTTTGGTTGGGGGCAGCATTCTGCCCCCAGCTAGACTGCAGTGTAACATCAGGAATTTTAAAGCTGTGTTTTACACCTGGGAATATCCTTCTCTCTTCATTATGAGATGCAAATAAGGTTTGTCTGGAATGGTCTTTCCATGGGGAGAGGGCCCAGTACCCACAGCTCACTATTTCAGTGTGATGTCACTCCTGCAGTGCTATTGCACTGTTTGATAGGCTTCAAGCTCAGACAGCCCAGAAATACAATGCTCAGAGGCTTCTCTGAAACACAGCATGTGCTCAGCCTTTCTCCCCTCATTTTGAAGCCTGTTTTAAATATTTTGTAGCTGTCTGCAAAAGCTGGAGTCACAACTATTTTGAAACCTGCAGATTATTGGATACCATTGGTGTATGCCCCAAATGAGAGTAAATTAAGCTTGTAAGTCTGTAAAGCAGACAGATGTGGAGGTGTAAAAAACAATTACAGCTTGCACTTAGCTGGGCTCTGTAATGTGTTGCAGTAATGAAGTATTTCTTTAAAGCGGAAAACCTTTGAAGAATACTGATATAATAATTAATATTCAGGTTACCTAGGGAACTTGAGACTCTGCTGACTGCAACTAGAAGATCCTTTGCAGAGAAAGCTACCCAGCACAGCTTTTTTTTTCCCTAGACCTTTAAGAATAACCTTTCCAGGCAGCTGTGAGATTATTTCCCCCACTTTTCCAAGTTTCTACCAAGTTTCTCCCTTACAGACAAGAAATCCTAGCACTAGTTCTGTCTAAAACAAGTTAGAGCTGATGTATCTGAAAAGGAAGGAAGAATTCAGGTGGGCTTGTAAAAAAAGGCATAATGAGGAGATGCTAGATGACTGAAGAGCCATAAAGAACAAAATAAATTTTTAAAAGGTCAAGAGAAGATTAATTTTATAAAGGAAAAGTCAGAATAAAACAATAGTTTTCTATATGTCCCTAGAAATAAATCTTGGAGAAGACTCCAAAATCACTGTTAGTAGGAGGCTACTTGCACCAATCTTTTAACAATGACTGACAAATACTACTGTGGGGCACAATAAATCTGAACTAGATTTCAAGAGCAATGAACCAAGCGCTTCCATTTGCTCCTCTGAGGGCAGCCTATGTCTGACAATGCTGATGTCATCACTATTGACACTAAAATAAGTGAAATGCCAGGAGATTGGTTCCCTGACAGAGTCTGGAAAAAAATCAACCACAAAAGAGTGACTGTAAATATGGGAGGTATTAAAGAGAACACCATGGCTTGTACTTGCTTCCTTATTCTTCTTGATTTTGAGAAATGCATGTGTAAACATCACGTAGCCATCAACAACCAGGGAGCGCTGCCAGAGAGCAGCCCAGCCAAGAGCATGTGAGCCAGCACAGCAGAGCAGCTTCAGAGGGAGCCACTTGGGAAAGGGCAGCCCTTGGACAACAATGGACACATTTAGCACAGCTGCATGACAAAGCTGAGCCAGGTAGTAGAGGGTCAGCCTGGACTCTGCTCTCCAACAGCGAATTGGCAAAAAAACTGTAGTTTATGCTAGACATGGCCGTCAGCTGTAACCCTTCTGCCAAATAAAAAGACAAGTATGTATTTCCTCAACTGCACTTCTAATTTATATTCTTTTATTTGGCCTGGATCTGCTGGGAGAGCAGCTTACACTGTGAATGGATGTGTACTCCTTGGCACACAGTGCTGTCTTCTAGGAACACAGGAGTTACTGGCTTAGATCACATATTCCTTCACTCCACTAGCAGCACAGTGGAAGCCAGCAGCAAAAGCTGCAAAGGAAAACACAGGAAAGCTTCTCTGAAAAACTAACTACCCAGGAGAAGCTGCTCTTGAACCTTATTAATTAGAGGTTAGTGTATGCCCTGAAGCATAAGACATTAAATCCCTTATAAATATGCATGCCTGCTCTTCAGAACTTCAGGAAAATAGAGAGATGTCAAAAAATTGACACCGCGCCTGAGAAGCATCTAAGCGTTCACTGCATTTAACAGATGGACAAACAGGAAAAGAAGTCAAGCAGCTTCTCTGCAGTCTTGTGAGCAGGCAGACTTCTGGTGGCACTGGCAGGTGAATAATGTGACACAGCTTCAAGTTTCTCCTGCTGAAGGTGGCTGGCTGTAGTACCCAATTTCTGCTGCACAGCCCCTCAGAGATTAATTTCCTCTTCTGCAAATGGGTGTGTTTATCTACCTACTTAATGAGATTTTCAGACTGTAAAATATTTGTATTACACAGCTATTACTGACACTAGGCTAAATTTAAAAAAAAAAGGAAGAGTTCTACTGCCCAGTGATTATTAATTCATTTATTTCAGTACAACTCCAGAACTTTTTCACCCTTATAGCTCCATTAATGCATCATTTTTCAGCTCAAGTGCCCTTCTAAAGCTAGTTGGAAGCTTAAGTCTGATAAATAAGTCTGGAAGTTCTGAAAGCATGGAGATTTAGCCAGTAAATTTTAAATAAAATTTTATTTTCTTTTTAAAATATTTTTATTTTAAAGACTGTTTTGACCAACTGCTAAGAGCCTAGAAAATCTCCAGTATGGTCACAGATTAAGGACAACTATAAAATTTTAATATACTATTTCCAAAAAGCAATAGAGAAGACTGAGAATGAAAAAAGAAAGAAAAGACTTGTGCAAAAGCACCCATCTTTTGTAAAAGAATCACTCACAATGCCATACACCAAAGCACCAGTCCTTAGTCATGTCAATGGAAATCTTTGATGACATAAAATCAGATAAAATTTCAGGAACAGAATACATAGTACTGTCATTAGAATTGCAGCATGGGTTATGTACATATGAACTAGCTAATACTCCAGCTAGGTTGGATATTAAAAATCAAGAAAACCACAACAGCACAGCCCTTGAATGTTGATTCAGTAACAAGTTTGTCCAGCCTGTGCTGAACCATGGATTTTAAAAGATGGTTTTCTGCTTGGTATATGAGCTAAATTAAAGTTAGTAAGATCATCTCAATGTACATAGAGTCCATACTTTTTGGTGGCTTAGTGCATCCAACAGTTTTGTCTTTTGAATTTTTCCAGTTTGATCATTGGTTGCATAACCTACCTTGACTATTTATGACCCAGACTCCTTGCTGGAAACCAAAGACAGCATGAGGAATAGCAAGCATCCTGTATTTCAACTCCAGTCTTATATGATGCTTTGGATGCTTGATTCCCATAGGCCTAGAAGATGTAGAAGGTGGCCCAGTGGAGGGGAGATTGTATAAGCAATAAATGAAGAAGTCAGGCTGGACAAAGGAGTGGCTACAGTGCCACTGATTCAAACACCCAGTACAGCAGAAGCAGTAGCAAATAGCTGGTTTGTGGTGGCTGGTCCATTTGGAAGGAAGAGAAGTTAAAGAAAAATAGATCTGAAAACAGAAAGTTCAAATGTAGCAGGGTGAAGAGCAGGTGAGAGCAGCTTCATCTCCCATCAACTCTGTGCAAGACACTTGCCTGTTCTGAGATGGAAGGGGCTGCTTTACAGCTCCTTGTCAGGCTGATAGCTCTGTGCACAGCTGAGGCCTGCCTGAGTCAATACAAAGTTTCTTTAACTCTGTGTAGACTCCTACCTCAGCTTTGGGAAACACCACTAGTCAGCTGTGATACACAGCAAACACAGCAATTTATGGTGCACAAAACCCTTCACCCTGTTCCCCACCACCCCAAAACTGCTTCTTCCAAAGGGATCATGATGAGCATGCGGATATTAAGCTCTCAATGCTAGTTAACTCCAAAGACTTGGAAGATAAGTCCATTTATTTGTTTTTAACAATCATGACAGAATCTTTAATTATGATCTATGTAAAAATGTAAATCAAGAGAGCTTTTTTCCCTGGAGAAAACAGGGATGGCACAGTGAAGCTGTTCTTTAAAACCAGCATGATTTCCAAATGAGAGTTTAGTCTTTTCAGAGCCCACCATCCCTACTGAGCATGTCCTTCTGTGCCATCCCAAAGAAGGACAGACGGAATCACGTGCTGTCATGCTCAGGGGCCATGACATGCAGTGACAAACCTAATGAGTGCCTTGGGCACTTCTGCAACACAGGCAATAGTCTTGGGGTAAGGAACACACTGCTTCATTATAGCCTTTTATCAGAGTGCCAGTTCAAATGGACAAAATAACATCATCAGTACTTTAACACTGTAGGCTTTATGTCAGAAATATTTCAATTCATTCTACCTAAGTCAGTTTACCACTCATTATTGTGAATATAAATGAAATTACTTATGTAGTTCTTTTATTCTACTCAGTTTGAACAGTTAAATTCCACCAAACAAGAAGAGCCCCAGCATCAAAAAGTTGATAGAAATTACGACAAGCAATACAAAATTATCTGTTTAAAAGGGAGTATTTAAATTTATGGCGTGTTAAAAAAATCTAGGGTAAACAGTTTTTCTTAATGAGACAATGAAAATTACCTGAATTTTGTAGATTCTTCTGGTTTCCTTACCCAGGTGCAGTTCTGCAGTTTTGTGACTATGTGAAGATAATAATCTTCTGAGTATCTAAAAAAGGAAACAACATCAAACACTAGAATACATATGTATGTATATTTAGAAACAGTCTCTAAAAACATTCAAATTATGCATTTATTAATAACAATGTGCATGGTGCATATATAATAGATTGCTTTTAGAACTCCATGACCTATTTTATTTTTGTAATTTGTAACAGCACTATCCTCATTTAACTAGCATGACCTATTAAACATCTCTTCTTAGTACTGGTGTCCTAATGAACTTCAGAAAGTTTCAAAAGTACATTTGTTTCAAACTCACATAACTAACCATAAATATTTTGAAACTATTAGAAATCATCTCAAGTGCAAAATTGCAAAATAATATAAATAATTCTCTTGTACTTAGTGGTTTAAACCATAAAGTGTTTTGAAAAGTGGCTCTTCCTGGCCAAGATAATACATAACATTTCTTATGCCTGTTCTTTCATTTACTTAATAGAATCTCCAAAGCTCATCATCTAAAGACATTAGACCAATATTTACAGATGTAATTTTTCCTTTAAACTGTCTGTAAAATAAAACTATCTGCTATTTTACATGATCCAGAACTTTGGTTACATTGCTACATATAACCAAAAAGCTCTCTGCTCTTGAAAATCCATTCAAGAGATTTAAATTTGTTCACAAGCTAAATACTTTGTAACATGCAAGTCAAAAGAATTAAGACGTTTTTGGCTTTCATGTTCAATGTTACTGTTTCTCCCATTTGTGCCTGGATTATAATACAGGTTTTTAAAAACAATAACTGCCTTAAGATAACTGGAGGAATAGGAAGAAAAGATGGTATGGATGTCATGACTAAAATTCTATAGGACCCAAGTCTCCATACAAGATCTAACTCGTATTATTTTAACAAAAATAGCTTAGTGCTGATCCAAACGTTCATGAGTTTATTCAAGCTGTCACTTAGAAGTGTCTATTTTGAACAGTTTTACAAGAGTTGGGATGCCAACTTGACTTGTTTTTAAGTGGAGCATGAGAATTGATAAAAAGCAACATAAAAAAAATGTCTGGTGGTTGCAGCAGTGGAGGTCAATTATCTGAAAGCCTCCTTCTCTCTGTTCTGTTTATTCCTGTTTGAAATAAACAGATTGTTTGCTTCATAGAAGTACTGCAATTGCTAAAGGCAACTCACTGATCCTACCCTAAGTAAAATCACGTCCAATTTCCACACAGAAAAATAAATTATAATTTTAAGAGGAATTTGCATTAAAACTGGTCTCTGGCTCAAGTTGGCACCTGTGACAACATGTACAAATTTCATCTTCCACGCTTAGCAAACTCATAACGGAACTAGAGATTATAACTAAACTGATTCCACTGAGCCCTTCACAACTCAAGAGAATTCAATCAGCAGAAGCAGAAAAAAACCTAGTTTCATTGCAGCTGTAGCTGATCTGACCTGGTCCAGCACATTCTTCCTCCTTGCAGTCCAACTGCCTTGTGTCATTATAGGTACTTACCTGACTCCACTCCTGTTTTTCTTTTGCCAGGTTTTGCACTTGTTAAATGCTTTCATAGGCCACTTTTACTACCAGGGCAAAAAAATAATCCAGAAGGACAAGGATATGCACATACATTTTCTTCTTATTGTGTTAAACCAGACAAGAAAGATTCCATCTAAGACCACAGCGAGTATAAGCAGAGTGATGGAAATGGACAAACAGGGATCAAGGCCCTTCTATTTGGCAGCTGCCTGCTGGTATGTTACCAGCCTTGGAACTGCAGCCACAGAAAATGGAACTACCTTCCTGCTGAAGCTGATCCCTAAACTGAGTCACTATGTGGACAGACAAGGGTCAGTAGAAGTGCAGGGCAGGGAGGGTTTGTGGGGTGAACGTGAGAAAAAAGCACAAAACCAAAATAGCCAATTCTGATGTTGAGTAGCTCATCTGGTTTCATTCCTTAATATAAACAAGAAATCACTCTTAGATGCTTGGACTTACAAAAAAATTTCAGAAATTAATAGGATAACAGACCACAAAGAGTTACTTACACTATAGTTATTCAGGAGAAAAAAAATATAGCAAAAGCAAATTCTAGCCTAAAGACACTGATAAGATGAAGATAAGAGTCAGAAATGAAATGAGAAATTACCATCTATTCAGAAAGAAACTGCATTGACTGACAATTTTTTAGTAAGTTACAGGGAAACATTTGGTAGGGAGAAGACTGAAAGCATAATCCATAATGCCAGTTCCAAGATCTCACAGGAAACATAGGCCCTCTCTGTCAGAAACTGTAAGGGCCCTCTCATACTTGTAACAGAAAATGCACTTTGGGTAAAGCACCAATTACAAAGCAAGAACACTGCAGCCTTTCCACAGCTGTCTCTACTGAACGGAATTGCTCTTGTTTAGAGCTATCCAAGCTCACCAGCTCACACAGAAAAACTCCATTTCCAGGTCTTTACAAGTCAGAACACCAACTCTGCTCACCCTATGCATCCAGTTTAGCTCCTCTTGTGACTTACAAGGACACTCTGGTCTGTCAGAAGTTGCCTCTACCAGCTGGCACAGTGCCACAGGAAGCACAGGCATCCTAGCACGCTGTCCTGGGGGACAGGAGCTCCCAACTGGGGCAGTTCTGCAAGGCATCTGCTCACACCAGTAAAAGGTTTCTATCAAATAAACTCTAATACAGACAGCATTCCTAGAAATAATTTTTAAAGATTCAACATGAAGCTCTGGGATTTGCTGCAGCTGGGTTTACAGCCCAGAAAACTTTGTTTTCTTCCCAGAAAGCTAATTTTAGCATTTCCTGCTTTAAAGGAGGCCTGGGGACTCACTTCTTCAAACAAATCAGTTCAGGGTATCAGGGAATCATTCCCTGACTCTGCTGTAACCCAGACAGTCATCTTCTCCACTCTTCCATTTCAAAGAGCTGGCACATTACATAGATTTCCACTGGCACCTAGGAGCCTACAGCACATATTCACTGATGCTAAAAGGGTTTTATTATTGAGATAAAAAAGAAAGGCTCAGGTAAATTGAGTTATAAAAATACTTAGACAACACAATGATTACAGGGCTGAGAAGAGTGAATGAATGAAACATGGGGTCTTTTTGTCCTGTTTTTGTCTGCCACCTGCACCACAACCATTATAATAATTTGCTGTCCTAGGAAACTCACTTATATACTATATGAGCCTGACTGACAAATAACACCTGGATGACTTTTTTTTTTTGGCCCAGAGTATTTGTCAGGTAAGAAGTGACCTTCTATGTTAACTGCAGTGGCTAAGGTGGAATTACTATGCTCATTCGAAGCACTGACAAAGTATTTGTATCTTCTAATTTTTGGAAGATATCTAAAGGAAAACAGCAAGGACAAACTGTGGAGACAGCATGGAGACAACAGGTAAAATGTCAGAACAGACAGATGCAGTCTCATTGGTTATTTACTAAAGCTAAATACCAGCTTGTAAAAAAGGTATTTGAATTGGAAGGAAGATTGAGCAGCAGGAGCAAAAAAAAAAGGACACATTTCTACTTGGCAGTTTGTGTTCAAGAAACAAACAAATAAAAAAGAAAAACTGTGGCATGAAATGCAAAATAAGGGGAGGCTCTGTTTTGCCTCTGGACGTTTTAACATTACCAAAAAAAAATATCAGTTTTATAAGCCCTCAGGAGATTTTACACAGGGGTTGCTCTAGAATAAAAATGGAAAACTGCTAGCAAAACTCAGCACTTCAGGCTCTTTGTCACCACCAGCACATACTTGCTATAATAATAACAACAACTTCCCACTTACATAGCATTTCTTACTATTAAACCATTTGACAAGCTTTAAATTAGTAATTTTTTTTTCTCTTTCTTCCAGTTTAAGAGGCAGGAGTGTCCAGAATGTCCCTCCAAGGCTAGAACTGTAATATAAAGCATTTAGATGCCACACCCATGGGTCACAGCTTGAAAAAGCAACAAAATCCCTGCAGCCCCTCTCAGTGAAGGTCAATGGCTGCAATATTCATGGCAAAAGGCAATCCCTTGCTCCTTTTCTTTCCCAAGCATCTGTTTCTCTTCCTATCTACCCAGTTCATCTTCTGCCTCATTAAATGGTACAACCCCTTTCTCTTTAACCATGGAATAAAAGTCTTGTACTTTGTAAAGTTTCTCCCATAATCTCAGCTCCAAAATGTTCTCAATGAACATTTAAAGAGCTCATTTCCAAAGACATCAAAACTTTGCAATGTGTGGGATAAACAACAGCATTTCTATTGCTGCAAGTGGATTTTGAAAGCAAAACAGCGACTGCTTTTCCTCCCCTTGGTGTTAATCACTCAAGTTTTCAGTCAACTGCATTATTTTACCTCTGCCAGTCTGTGTTCCAGCTCTCACTATCAGTGCATCAGTAACACAGTGGTCTAGCACCCTTCAAAAGAATAAAAACTTCAATGATGGTGTTGCTTAAAAAAGTGGAATACTGATGGGAAAAGAGATTGTAAAGAAAGGGGGAAAAAAGAATGAATAAATAAATAAAGAAGTAATAATAAGAGCACAGAAGAAATGCTGGAAGTATGATGATTTAAAGAGATGTGAAAGGTCTTGAAATGCAATAAAAAAGCGAGGAGGGGGCAGAAAAGACAGAGTATGTTTTCAAATCACCATTTAATGTTGTTTTGGCATTAAGTAAAAATTTGAATTCTCCCGTACTTTGAATAGGGAAAGGCATATAATTCTTTTTAGTTCACCTTTTGTTTCTCATTCTATTTCTTTTCCCAAATGGAGGAGAGCAGGGAGGGAAGCTCCCACTTTTAAAGACAGCATGGCACCATCCATTTTAAGCTGCAACTCAGTCCTAATGGGAAGCCTTTCTTACCTTCAATGTTTTATTTATTGGTGCATCCTTTTGTTTATTGGTGCATTGATATAGGAAAAGATGTTACATGTCAAAATCACTGTCTGCTTCTCAGCTTTTCACTTTGGATAGTGACAAGGAATTTGAGTAGGACTGATATCAAAGTTGGATTTTTCTCCATGCCAGAAAAATACAGAACAACAAGTTGAAACCCAAAATTAATTTGGGGTGGTTTTTTCCCCAATGTGTCTAAAATTGGACTGTTTGTTTCCTGTGGACTTGCAATCACAATGCAATCATGTGACTAACCAGCAGGTCTTTATACTAGTACATTTCCACCCTTCCTCTAGTTAGCAATGCTGGACAGAATCATTAACTGAAGTTGCTCATAAAAGGAGGAGTGTTCACCAGTCAGGGAAAAGACTCTCAAAAATGAAATTATACCCCACACTTCTACTCAGTATTTTTTGAATAACTTGTTGCTAACTGCTAAGAAGAAATCATGTATCGTGAAAATAAAAAAGTTAAAATCCCACATCAAATAAATCTTATCCATGTAAAAGAAAAAAATGCAGCAAACATTGGTTGAACAAATTCAGTTTTCTGTTGCATAGCTCCCCTTTAATAAACAAGAATTATGTAAAAAAGGACAATCTTTTACCCTTCTATTTAAAACAAACAAAGTAGAAAGGACAGCAAACACCTACCTTTTCTTCTTGATAGATGATGACAAAATGTTGTCCTGAATTGCCTTACATTTTGAAGCCTGTTCAAACTGGTAAATTCCATTTTTATTATGAGTTGTTCTGTTAAAAGGGAGCAGGAGGAGAAAAGGCAATAAACTTTAAAAGAGAGAACATATTCTACCAATGTTGTCACATTTACTTTATTATGCCAATAGGATTAATAACCACTGATTTAGCTGAAAACATTACTAAAGAAACCTTATGGACTTCTATTGTGAAGTTCTTGTTATTAAAAGAGAGTTTTCTGTTAGGCAATATAAAATATTTGGTTGTTTAAAATAACTCTATTTCATAGTCTGAATTATATTTTCCACTTTACACTGTAATCAGCAAATGTAATTTAAAAAAAAATGAAATTGAAAGCTTCCTGAACATTAAGTTTTGAAGATATTTAAAATATTCACTAGTAAAATATTCAGCAGATGTGATTTCCTAAAATTGCTGATGAAATGCAATATTTGGAGTGAATATAATATATCCAGGAAAGTACATCCACAGGTGAAGTGGGTCTTTGTACTTTGACCTTAACTTACTGATTCAAGTATAATACTTCCTGTCTTGTTTATTCTTTATTTACACAGAAAGAACAAATATTTGTAAAAGGAACCAGGGGAAGTGTCAGATAGTATCTTTAATTCCTGTCTTATTTTCACCAAACTCCTGTGTGGTCCTCTTGCTCTGGGCAGTCCTTGTAGAAGAATGAGAAGTAAGTTAGTAAATGACTGAGATACCAAGGTCTTATTCCATTCACCTCAGTTCATCCTGTATCTGTGTCCAATCTCATACAATCACCGTCTTCTAACATAGCCTTCCACTCTGTAGATTGCCATTTACCCTAAAGATTTCTTCTCTGGCATTATTTTCCCTGCCCCTCACCATGTTCTTCCCTGCCACCTGCCCCTCCTCTTTGCTTCTTTCCACTGATGCACAACTTACAGAGCCCTTGGACATTGCAGCCTTTTGCTCGAACCAGAAGCAGAAACACAGAAGGCAGAGGGGCCGTGTGCTGTTCTTAGAGAACAAGTGAAACATCTCTGCACAGAGGCACTCACACAAGAGGAAGGCCTTCCTGCTTTGTGCTTCTGAGCCATCACTGCTTTTACTGACAAGGACCAAAACTTCACCTGCTACAACATGGAGACCCCTCAGCAACCAGATTTCTGACAAGCTGAGTTTGAAGACTTGCTTGGGAAAGATGCCATTTCAAGGCACAGAACCACAGAGTGGCTGAGGCTGGAAGGCATCTCTAGAGCTCATCTAGTCCAAACTCCCTGCTCAGGCAGGGCCACCTAGAGAGGGGGAGCAAGGACTGTACCAGATGCTTTTGAATATCTCCAAGCACAGAGACTCCACAACCTACCTGAGCAGCCTGTGCCAGTGCTCAGTCACCCTTACAGTGAAAAAGTGATGCCTGATGGTCAGAGGGACCCTCCTCTGCTCCAGTTGGTGAGCACTGCCTCTGTTCTAGCACTGAGCACCACTAATGAGAACTTGGCTCCATCCCCTGCACCCTCCCTTCAGGTATCAGTAAGTTCTCTCCTGAGCATTCTCTTCCTAAACACCTCAGATGAACAGACTGACTGAAGAAGATAGAAGAATAAATGCTTGTTTATTTTGCTACTGAGCTGACTCTCATGGTCATAGCTGACAGGGAAGGAAAGAACCACCTTTCTTTTTCTTTCCATTGCCCATGAATTTTCTAGAGTTAGTCACCCCTAGTAGCAATTTCCACAGGATGCAGGCTGCCAAGGAGAGAGAACAGCGCACTTCATTTCTTCCCACCACCAATAAATTCTTCCCAGTATACCCTCGGTGCCCCTGAGGAAGTATCCAGTGTGTATGCCCCTTGTTGAGGGAAACAGTAAGACAACACAACATAAACCTCTATCCTTCCAGTTCTGCAGTGACTTCAATAGATAGTAACAGCTGGCACTGCCTACTGAGAGCTCCTTGGCTGCCTTTGCATACAGCTCTTTATCTCATTTTTTCTCAAGGAGTGAAATACAAATAGCAGAAGGCTCCCAGAGCACACAGTTCAGAGCTAAGAACTCTGCAGATCTCACATAGCAAGTGCTAGCATATATTCTGCCTAAAAAATTTATGTACACAGGTTTACTGCAGCTTGCTCTGAATGGTTCTGTCTATGCAGAACAACCAGGTAGGCCCTTTCCAGTTCTCAAACAAATTTAGGTAGCACTACTTCCTCTCATGCTTCCTCTCTTGCTTCTTTAACTTAGTAACATCAAATGATTATTTGGCAGCTGCAGCTTAAAATAAGAGAAATGGCTACAGGCAAAAGTTTTTAGCTGCCTAAACAGCATCTTAAAGAAATAGAAAGAGAAAAAAAAAAAAGAACAATTGATAAAAGCAAAGTGCATGTTACTGCTGCAACTAAGCCTTTCGTTATTACTAAAACCTAAGATGCTGGATGCTGATTTGAGAAGTGGCCCCAGCCCCTCTGAGCCACCACTGGCCAGAAGAGACTCTCTAACATGGGAATATGCCAAGCGGATGACCAAGCCAGAGCAGGCAGCTAGGTTTGATCAGCTCCCTGCAAGGGGCATTAGCAGAGTACCAACATTCTTGCACAACTCTGTGCAGACAACCATTACAAGTCCTTACAGCTTCCCATTAATTTATGTCTTGAGATCTGTGGGGCAATGAATAAATATTCTCTCAAATAATACAAGCTTTACTCCACAGACTTTTAGTCCCTTAAAAAATTCCTAAGATCAACACAGGCAAGTTGCCTCATTTTTTAAATACACAATTGTTTTTAGGTAATCCTTTTCAAGACCTGAAAAATTATAAAAAAAAGGAAGTCAGAGAAAAAAGATAGAACAAAATGAATCCCTATTCTGTTTTGTCATGAAAGCCTCACAATCACTTTTACAGCCACATGACAGATCACCAAAATGCTTCTTCTGTGGCTTTTTGTACGTAAAATTTACTTGACCCTCTTTATGTGGTGCAAAAGGTACAAAATTAAAACAATTTATTTTCAAGAGATGTAAAGCAGTTACTCATTCCATTAAAAGTTAAATTTCTGAATTTCTGTTTCACTGTCAGAGTAGCCTCTGCTTCACACGAATGAAATCTTTTTGCACTTAGATAAGATGGGTGTGCAAGAGACAGCCCAGACTTCTACTGCATTATTCATGGCAAAGTTGCACAGACATCAAACTCAGATTAAATTTCTGCTCATTTCAGACAATTGTGCAAGGCAACATTTACCACTAAATTAATTTACCTGACCCAGTGGATGAGAGTCTGTTCACTACTTAGAGCAGCACTACAACTTCTGCAATGAAATCAGTAACGTGCCTTACAACACAGATATCAGCTACATTCAACTAATTCTGTGAACTATTAAGCTAAATGAGAACTTGAAGTAGAAACATTCTGTTGGCTTGAACTCATAAAACTGATGATACAGGGAAATTTCAGCTGTATTTTCCCTAGGGCTTAGATGTTCTCAAAGCCAATCTCATTGGACCAAATCTGAAAAACAGGGGCTTTTTTAATCATATATGAACAGCTTGAGGACCACATACTTCCTATGGTAATTCTAGAAACTCAGGAAGTACACCATCTGTACTTTAATAAATCCACAGTAGATTAAGACCATGTGCCTCATCTATCAGCACGTTTTTATTCTATATCTTGCTCTCAGGAAGACAGCAGATCCTCAAACTGTAAAATTGTTTAAGACAAGGACTGACTCCATCTTTAGACAGAAACTATATGGAAAGTCCTTTTTCTGCTCCTGCAGCATTCAGTTCTGAGACAACAGGGAACCTTAGTGCAGGAAATCACCAGACAGAGGGGTATGTCAAGTAAGAGAGCATTCTGGGGGAGCAGAAAGGTACAGGAAGGAAAAGCAAAGGCACACCCTTTAAAAACAAAACTAAACCCAATCCCAGTTATCAGAGCAGGAAAATGAGATAGGCATAAGATGGAGGAATGATAGGGAAGACAAGAAAAGAAAAAAGGCAGATGGAAAAACTGATGCTGTGAGTTGTACTGTAACACAAAGTTTAAAAGATCACTCTTCTAGATATCCCTCAAAATCTGATAGAAACAAAGAATGTGGGATGAGATATTCAAAATTTCTCAGAACTGAACTGTCTGGCAGCAGTGAAAGCAACAAAAATTTCACCTCCCCGGTAAGTCCACCCTGAAAGTAAGGGAAAATCCCACTCGTTGGCTATTCACTCCACACCCAGCATAATAAATTGTTGCTCTTTTCTATAGCTTCTTGATCTTGGCTGTCTGAAGCAGCACAAGAGCTCTAAACATGTTCCAGCTGAGCATCTCCAGCTAAAAAGGATAACTTCTGTATGCAAAATTACACATTTTTATCATTCTACCAAAATGGCACTGAATAGCATTATCCAGATTGTGAATATCTTCTGTCTTAATCCCTCCCTTGAAGGGACTAATTTATATTTGAATCTCATCATCTGGTAGTTGAATACTATTAAAAACCCAAAATCCCTACTTCCATAGGAAGGGTGCTCTTAAGTGCTGCCTTTGACACTATTTCAAATTAATCAGATGATAAGAACATAGTGATGTTTTTAAAGTTCACAACACCTTGATTAATAAGGCAATACACAATTTAAATTCTTGGTGAAATGGACTATAAAAATTGCTTCATCAAACCACAGGAGTAAGAATTTGTCTTGAAACATTAATCACAGCAACTGTTAAAGGGATTGATCCTACTATCTTTGTTCGAGTTCCTATAGAGGCATTGCTTATCTAAGGAATGCTAAACCAGGTCTTTAACACAAACTGCATCTTGAAATTATTTGAAAGACCCTCCAGTGCATTCACCAGGGCTATGTATAACATCAGATACCTTTTATTTATAAAATCCATAAACTGCATGACAGGTAACATGACAAGCAACATTCAGAGCCTCATGGTAGGTGAAGTGAAAAGAATAAGGTACTTACACTAAAATCATGTTACAAGGGCACACAATAGAATGACAGAGCAGTTTCACTTGGACCAAGTAAACAGAAACCTTTCACCACTGTCAGAACGTAAATATGCCCTGGCAGCAGCTTTCAACTGAACACCTATTCATTTAGGCAGAACTAATACATCAGGCATGGGTTCAAAATATGCTCCTATAATATATCTGCATGCATCACTTGGGGTGAAGGGGCAAAATATTAAGAGAGCAGTAAAATTAGTGAAGTGGACCCCCCCTGCTGACTAATCTAAACCATAGTAAATTATTTGTGCAACATACTAGGCTACTTCATAACTCTGCTATTAGCCTGTCTCTTCTCCCCCTTCTGACTGCCTGAATGCAGTATTTTGTCAGGAGACAGAATGTACAGGTCTCTGTAGCATTGTTAATTAAGTATAGCTGTTTATTTCCTAGGCCTGCATACAGATCTGCTGCTGAGAGAGGAACTGGAGAAATCAACACTATGGAACACTGTATTAATATAACTTGTTTACCCATAGCTTCTCAATCACTTCCTCCCACTGTTCAATTACCTCAGTGGTCTTTACACTGGGCTTGCCCTGGACCTGCAAAGACAGAAAGCAAGCTGGGGAAATAGTAAGTGAATGCCTTAAAACTGGCAACACAGACTAACAGAGTATGGTGGTCAGTTCTTTAGGGTACTGCTGCCTTGTTTCTTTTATATAAAGTATACATAAATAGTGCCATTTTTTGACTTCTCATGCAGGACCTGGCATGATTTATCTGCTACATATTCCTGGGTAGTAAAATAGCTAGAATTTCATCCTAAATTTAACCTAGCACACCCCGGGCTTCATAACAAAAAAAATACTACCTAGCTTCTCTTACTATTTTCATTTCCCCCTGATAAGCACTAGCAGTACTGAGTCTTCTGTTCTACTATTAATGTAACCACTAAACAAACAACTATGCCTGCACAAACAGTTGGGGAGAGAGGAAAGGAGAGAGGGAAGACCAAGGATCTAAAGGTGAGAAAAATGCAAGACTTCTTTTTTTGGTTGTACTGTTGAAAATAAAAGAAGGCTGAAGTTGAGAAAATAGAAATTGTACTTGCAGTTACAGCTTAAAAATTGAGAGGACAGTATGAGGCATAGATAGGAGAAATCTGCCAGAGAACATATTACTGCAGTATAAATGACACTGGTTCCATGAATAAGTCTGGGGGTTACTAGACATATCTTACTAACAGTGGCCTTTCTTTTCAGTAGGAAACCCTACTAAGAGGCACAGTAGGCTGTGAAATGAGCCCAAGACTAGACATGCAAGTCGCACTGTAGGGGCAGTCACACTGCCCCAGTTAGCTAAGGCTTAACAAGAAAAAGGGGTAAGCAAAGTCCTGTAAGAGACAAACCACATCATCAAGGTTATTTACTAAGACACAGATCCCCAGAGAACTTTAGGTGCCTGGTCACCATGTATTTAAACATTGCTGCACATAATAGCTGCCTAAATATCTAAGACAGTCTGATCCAATCCCCTGCTCTTCATCCTTTCATCCTTCAGTTTCATCCTTTAAAAGTATTACTCAAAGTAAAAGAACAGATTAGCTTTCAATACTGCAAGGCAACAGAATAATAGGGCCTTAGAGATTCTTTGGGAGATGTCTGGTTACAAATATGCCTCCAACAGCAAAGGAAATAATGATAAAAAAGATTAGCTTGTGACTGTGAAGACTGTCTAGATTACTTTTACTTAGAGGTCAAGGATAGTGCCTAGGTTTCTTTTCTTTTTCCTTTCCTGGAAACATTCACACGCATTCCCTTACTCTCATGCAGGAAAGAGTTGCTGCCAATAACACAGCAACGCCACTCAAATGATCGGGGTTGTTTAGGAGAACCACACCACCCCACAGCACTCTGGAATCTAATTCCTATTGACCAGACCATCCATCTCCATCACTGAGGGATTGCTCTGAACTCCTGAATGAGTCCAGATGCTCTCTGGATCAAGCTTCTCCAGCATGGCCCTTAGCCAGGCCCAGTCCAGCTGCTGCCTGGATCAAACCCCTCCAGCATGGCTCCCTGCCCAGTCCTGCTGCTCTCTGGATGAACCAACAGCTCCTGGTCAGCCCAGTCCAGCAGCTCTCCCTCCTTTCTCATTAGCCACACATGCACCACAAAGCCCTGTCAGGCCAGCTTACTGAGCACAGTCAGTCAGGTGAGAAGGCACATCCACTCTCGGATTCAGCTAGCAAGACATCTCTCCAAAGACGCTGCAGTTACAGGAGCTTGAGTATATTGAAACTTTCTTTGATGAATTATTTACTTGACACACTTTTGCAGACACTTAGTCATGAAGAAATACAATTTCAAGCTGACAAAAACTAGCTTCAAATTGGTGTCAAAATTCCTCCAAGTAGAATAAGGAAAAATACATATTTAAAATCACAATCTCACTTGCCTTATTACAAAGGTTAAAAAAATGACATGGATTTTCAGACCTCTTTGGTATGTGCTGTTTCTACTTTCATTGCTCCAGCTGAGTGTACTAAGGGCAGATGGGAAATAGACTGTTCTCTGGAGTGCTCTCTATCAGCATTTCTAGTCAATTCAATTCCATGGTATAACACAGAGAGCTGAATGAAAGGAGAGGCAACTCAGAAACTAGTAGGGAAGAGTGTGAGGAGATGGGCCAGGGGGAAACCACAGACACAGCCCAAAACAGAGTGGAAAGAAGAATGGAGTAATGGCTACAAAAAAAACCCAAAGCAGAACAGCACATACTGCAAAAACCAATATCAAGAGGGGGAAAGATGGGAAAAAAAGCAGAAAGGGGAAAAAATGAGAACAGGAAAGAGAAGCAGGCTAGAAGCTCATAACAGCAGGTAGGAACATTTGGAGAATTCTGTTCCTTTTCTTTCACTCTAACTTTGAAAGATGCAATAAACTTAGAGTTTGTGAAAGTTTTAAATATTGAGGGAAAGAGCACAAGAGTATCTCACCAGAAACACATAAGAAATGCACTGTTAGGGTACACTGCAATCATTACTGCAACTAACATCACTTGCATTCACTTCAGGAAAGCATAGGCTGCCAAATTCAGCTAGACTGAGTGAGATGGTGGCCTCAGTAAGGTTAACTGCACTGTCACCATTGTCTTCAACACAACCAGGACATCACAGTTTCTGTGAAAGACCCAATTCTTAAGTTCTTTCTGATTTTTATAATTTTTTTGACTGTAATATATATTAACATATAATAGTCATGGTAACTGCAAAGGTAATAATGCCATATAAAGTAAAAGAAGAAACAAAAAATATTTCAAAACTACTTCTTACATAGTATTGATCTCATGTGTGGATTACACCACCGTCTTCTGCACTCTTAGTTTTCCTACAGTGTGTGGGGACCCAAGAGCATAAAAACAATAGTCATTAGTATTGAAGTCTGCATGTAAGGCACAACGTTTCACAGCTGATTTTACAAAGTACCTTCACATTAAATTTCACAGTATAAAATAACAGGCTGTAAAGCAAAAATCTACACTGATCTAGAAGATCAAGACACAGGATCAAATGAATGGGCTTCCACAAAGTACAATACCAACCCAAAACTAAACAGGCTTCGTATGTCTTGCCTTCATTGTAAATGGATTGTAAATGATAAATCTGCATTTTTAACTAAATACAAATTACAAAAACAGTAATAGCATTTCCCAGCTCCACCTTCCTGGAAAGAAGAATAAAAAGATACCTAGAACGTGTCATTCAGCAGGCACTTTTTGCATCGTACGCTAACAAAACTGCTCTACGCAGTATTTTATTGGGCTCGAAACCAACGGCAGAGTGACAGCCGTCAATAAGGGGGCCCGTGGACAAATAATTCATTATAGTTAAAGCAAAGTGCTATTTGCCCTAATAATCTCTAACGCTCTCTCTGATCAAGCTACCGAAACAAAAGCGAGAATGAACCGGAGCGAAGGCGAATTTCTGCTTTTGCAGACCCGACCTCACGGACCCACCAGCGGGCGTTCAGCCCGTACCTGTTCTCGGTGTGAGGAAGGGGCGTCAGGGGAGACCTGAGGGCTCGCACCACTTTCGGCGTGACAGCCGCTCCTCCTGCGTCCTCCTGCCAGCCCCTGGCAAGCGAGACGGGAAAACAAAGTTGTCAGGACCAGTGATTGAACATCACCCGGCGAGAGCGGCGCCGCTCTCCTGCCCACGACCCGCGCCGAGCCCAGACCGAGCCGAGGGCACCGCCAGGCTCCGCCGCGCCCCGCGGGGCTCCTCCCGCCCTCCCCAGCCGGCTCCGGACCGCGGGCGAGGCCGCCCGGCCGCCCTACCTGGCGCGGAGGGGCTGCTGGCCGCCCAGGCGCAGGAGGCAGCCTCCCAGCAGCAGACTGCCCAGCGCCGCGGCCAAGGCGATGACAGCCCGCATGGTGCGCTCGGCAGCGGCGCCCGTCGCAGCTACGGCCCCATAGTATTTAAGGGAGGCTGCGGGGAGGGGGAGGCGGCCATGGCAGCCACAGGGTCTCTGCGCTCCGCCCCTCGCCCGCAGCCCTGCGCCGCCGCCGCCGCCGCCGCCGCCGCCATCGGCCCCCCCCCCCCCCCCCCGCCTCCCGTCGCGGCCGCCGCGCGGGCCCGGCCCGCCGGTGCTGGCGGGGAGCGGCCGGGCTCGGCCGGCGTGAGGGCGGCACCCGGGCGGGCTTTGCTAGCGGCCTGTGCTGGCCGCCGCTCGGGGCGCTTCCCGCAGCGCTTCCGTGTCGAGGGCGGCGAAGCGAGGGAGTCGAAACTGCCCAAACTTTAATGGGGGAGAGGGGCGCCCTGCGGGACGGCGGCGGGAGCAGGGTGCGGGGCTTGCCCGGCGAGGGCAGGCAGCCCTGCCCCGTGGCTGGCGTATTGAAGCCGCTGCAGCTTCAAAAGCTCTTTCTCTGAATTAAAAAGTAATAGTCAATGTGTTCTGTGTTTTGTCTCATAAGAGGTATATTATAAAACTATTTATATTATAGATAAAAATGACCCCACGTGGAACACTGTGCGTGTGCGGCTCGTGGCCCCCCAGCATAAGAAGGCTGTGACCCTGTTCAGAGGAGAGCCATGAACCTGATCTGAGGGATGGAACCCCTCTGCTGTGGAGACAGCCTGAGAGCTGGGCTGCTTCAGCCTGGAGAAGGCTCTGGGGGGACCTCATTACAGCTTTCTGTAGGAGGCCCACAAGAAAGCTAGGGAGGGACTTTTTAACAAGGGCATATAGTGATAGGACAAGCAGGAGGGCTTTAAACTGAAAGAAGACAGGTTTAGATTGAATATTAGGAAGATATTCGGTAATGTGTGCATGATGAGGCACTAGAACAGATTGCTCAGAGAAGCTGTAGATCCCCCATCCCTGGAAGTGTTCAAGGCCAGCTTGGATTAACCTGACCTAGTGGAAGGTGTCCCTGCTTATGGCAAGGGGTGGTTGGAACTAGATGATCTATAAGGTTCTACCCAAAATGTTCTATGTGTCTATCATTTGGAGTGGTTTTGGTAAAGAAATGCTTCTGTAGTAAGCTTGTGTCTTTCTACGTGATGGTGTATTCAGTGTTGCTTTCACAAACCATTGGTATGAGAAACCTAGTAAGGTGACAAGGTGCCAATAATTAGGTCCCCCGTTATTAAAAGTGGGTCGAAGAGATGCTGTGACTTACAGCAGCCTTTCAATTGTGAGCTGACACCTTGTTTTTGCAGATTCTTCCCTATCCTTCATGTTTTCTGTATCTGTGAGCATTTCCTTAAGCCTTGGAGCTGCTGCTCATCAAACAATGGCTAGAAAGTCTCAAAGTAAGAGCTCTGCTGCTCTATAGTAATGAAGTAACACAGACTTGATATTGTGAGTGGTAAGAAATGACAATAGGAAGCAGCAAGCCTCTAGGAAGTGCACCAGAGGAAGAGCACAGCACCATTGTCTTCTTGGCTTTGAGGTACTTAATTGTAATAGCAAAACAAAGCCAGTGTGAAGGCTTGTGAAGCCCTGAAGAAGTTTGCTGTTTCAAGATTGTTGTGAATCTCTAACCAGCAAACTTCTGAATTGTTGTGATTTAATGTAAATGTCTGGAACATGAAGATGATTCATCACCACTTCCCAAAAGCTTGTTTTGGGCCTATCCTATAAAACCAGTTGACACTGCATACAAATAAGTAAGGGGCCAACTGTCAAGCTTTTCAAGGTATGCGTGTATTGATCAGCAGATATTAGAAATATCAATCCCCCACCACCTCTGTAAAACATGAAGGCTCCTGCTTATGTTAATGGATATCATCAGCTATTTTGTAATACCCATTAAATACCCTATGTAAAACAATAAGTCTTTCATCTTAAAAGCCTAGTGGTATTCAATTCCAGCTCTGAATCAAAGACAACTAAGAATTACAGTCCAGAAAAAGATTTGGCTTTTGCACTCACTGTTATTTCCCTCTGCAATACAGTTTTCCTGGGAGTCCTGAGGTATCACTGTCAGCTAATCCATGGGAAATTTAGTGATGCCAGTGAGGACATAATATTTCAAGTTAGAGGTCTGCTGCCAAGGCTAGTCTGTAGTACAGTAAAGATTTCTTTTTCCGAGATCAGAAGGTTAATCTTTGTGTCATATTAAAGTTCTTGCAAAGAAAATGGGAAGATTATAAACTAAATGTGTTTAGATTAGACTTGGCACTTGGTGCTTGTTGTTTACTAACAAGTTTACAAACAGGTATTGATTGATTGTCACAGTATCTTTAGATGTTACCAGCCTTAATTTCCTGGCTTAGTAGAAAGGTTAAGTGACCTTACTAAATGGTGAGATAAGAATCAATGGTGAATCAGAATTCAAATTTAGGAATATTGGATTCAAAAGACCAAGTTTCTCTTGTGTGCTGTTGCCATATCAGAAGTGATGGTGTCAGGTAATGTAATGGAGAGGGTCAAAGTTATAAAGGTACAGATGCCAAAGATACCACACAGGAAAAGACAGAGACTTAACAGTGTACGTAGAGTCTGTGTCCCATCTCATCATCCTCCTCACAGCTGGAAGCAGGTGCATTTTGGCAGCATCCCCCATCCTCTGATTCCCATTAGCTTCTGAAGTCAGCAGGAATTGATAATTGCTGGCTTGCACAGAAGGAAGAGATCGCTAATCAGCCAGGTGGTATCATCATGACTTTGTTACTGAGCTCCTACAGCCCTGCTTAGCTGCTAATTTGGAAAAGCAAAGTGCAGCCTTGGTTATCATCCATGAAAGGCTGCTGTCCCCCAGGTCAGCAGGATTGCATCTCGAAAGGAGTCTGGTGGAGGGGCCTGTAGGGCTGCTGGTCACATGGAGCCAGCTTAGCCTTCTTATTTCCAGCAGCTAAATCATATTAAGAAGCAATTAATGTTCATTAAATGCTTTCCTAGTGCTGCCTTCTCATCTAAGCAATGGCTGTCATAGGGATATTAGTTATTGCAAATAGGAGGAGAAATGACTGTTACAATTAACAAGAAGAGAAAGGTACTAAAGATATTCAGTGAAACTGGAGTCCCATGTTCTGCGGAAGTATGAGAGGCCCCAGAGTGAGGTATTGGTGCGAGACAACTATTTTGGTATTTTTAGCACACTCACAATATGTTTTTAGCAAAAAGAAACTTCCAGCAAATTCACAAAACAGACATATGTGTTTCAAACTGGGAAAAAGTCATTGGTTCATTGCATTTCACAACTTCATTTATTTCCACCCACGGTTTTGGGCAACATGGTTTTACGTAATGATAAACTGTGAGAACTAAGGTGCCGTCTGCCAGACTTCAGGACATCAAAAGGCCCCAATCATTCCACTAAAGGGAAATCACAAAAAGCAATGCATTCCTGTTCCCCCTTAAAATAAAAAAAAGTCCAAACTAAATAATCACCTTGTATGGCTGTTGCTGCTATGTTTTTTGTCTTGCCTTAATGACTTTTTCACTATTTTTTCCCTATTTGTTTTCTCTCTTTTTTTTGTGTGTGTCCTGTAACTTAAAAATTAGTCTTTATTAAAATAATAATTTAATAACTAAATTCAGCCAGCAAACAGTCTGTTGGGATCAACCAAAAGTTAGCTAAATTATTAGGTGTTTAAAATCAGTTACATGTACCATCACTTTGAGATGTTCATCAAATGTGACAGTGATGACTCATCCAGTCAAGCACCATTCACTCTTTGGAGAAGGTCAAGGTGAAAAAAAATCAGGGCACCTGGAGAAGTCTTCAGGACTCTGAGTGTCTCATAAGATGTCATTCTTACAGAATCACAGAATATTCTGAGTTGGAAGGGACAGACAAGGATCATTGAGTCCAACTCTTAAGTGAATGACCTGTATGGGGACTGAGCCCATGACCTGGTATTATTAGCTCCCTCTTCTAACCAACAGCAGGACTTGCTTCTTGTGCACAAAATTAATGATTTTTCATTGTTGTAAGCTATGTTTTTATATCCATCAGAGTGAGATATTGTGTGCACTTCACCAGATTCCTTTATTTAGTTTAACTGAGTAACCAGGCTTCTTCTCTTTAACAGTGATGACCCACCCCGACGGCAGATAAATACTCATGGCCAAAAATGCATCTTGTGGCATAAGCAGACTTGAGGCCGGTAACTAGTGAAAATGAGTGCTCTACTGCCAGCCTCTGTGTGAGCCTTCATCCAATTAAGGGCAGTGCAGGCATGTGCCCATGGCTGTGGTTCAGTCCGGTGTGTATGCTTTTCTAAAGGAAGCTGATGGGCCAGTCTGACTTACAATGAGGTACAAAGGAGGATTTTAATTCAGAAACCTAAAAACTTGCAAGTTGTTGGCCTGAAGGGAGATAATTTTTTTCCCATTCTCTTTTCTTCCTCAAGGCTCTCTGCACGACATCTTAACATGACACTTTGCAAAAGGCCATACTGGGTCAGACTAGAACAGTGTGTTCTTCAGGCAGTGCCCAGCAGCACAATCCCAGAAGAACTGTGCAGTGATCCATCCCTAGGACCCTTTCTCAGCTTCCAGCAATCAATGGCTCAGGGAATTTCTGAACCAGAGCTAGCTGTGTGTTTAGTTGCCTTTCATGGATTTTTCTTCCATAATTATGTCTAATTGCTTTTTGAAACCATGTAAACTTCTGGCATCAACAGTAGCTTGTGCCAATGATTTCCATCCAAGATGAATCCTTCCATTACAATTAGCCCAGGAACAATTTGCAAGTCTCTGTTGTTATTTGGAACTCTGATCTCCTTCGCTGAAGGAGATGATGTGCTAAGTATTCTTTTGCAAAGAATTTTACTACAGTTGCACAAAACAGCGCTGCTGTTAATACAAATTCACAGCATCCATTGCTAGAATTCAGTGGGAGTTATTACAGAGCATACTGTGAATGCAAATTAAAAATAATGCACAACACTCAACCAAATCCTAATGGACCAATGGCACAATGTCAAATACATCAGGAGCAAAGACTTCTAATACAATTATTAAAATCCCAAGCAAACAAACAAAGCAAGTAAATTAGC